ATATAGGAGCCTCTCAGTTTCAAATACAGGTCTCATTGTCCCTACTGACCAGTGAAATACCCTTCATGCCAACTTTTTGGCATTGAATGACAGAGAGCCAGGCTCTGGAGCTGGACTGCCTGGGTTCAAACCCTAGTTGTGCTTCTTACCACATATGTGACTTTGGGCAAGTTTCTTGCTTCTACTTCCCTAACTGTTGAACAGAATTCATAATAGTACCTACTTCATGATTATCATGAGAATTGAAGGGGTTAACATATGCGAAGAACTGAGAATTGTGCCTGGCGTACATTAAGTACTCCACAACATATTAACTATTATTATCCTTGTTTTTCAAAGTGGCTCTCTTCTGAAAGCAGGAGAGAATTCTTTTATTGGACTCCACGTCATGATTGTGGGCTCAGAAAAGATGTTACTGGGCCTGCAGGAATATGAGGCTTTGTTTCTGCCTTTGAATAAAAGAAAAATTTCACAGCCTGGAGGTTGGGAAAACACCATACTGTGCCCCTGAGCTCTCCTAACCTCATTTTCTAAAATAATTCAGCCAGACCTTGCTCACTTTCTAAAAGCTGATGAGAATCAGACCTCCTACTGGTGGTACTTTGTTTTTATATTAAAAAATGGATTTCAGTGAAAATTGATTTATCTCCTTTTTAATTTTTTAAAAAATATATATTTTATTGATTTTTTACAGAGAGGAAGGGAGAGAGATGGAGAGTTAGAAACATTGATGATAGAGAAACATCAATCAGCTGCCTCCTTCACACCCCCTACTGGGGAAGTGCCTGCAACCAAGGTACATGCCCTTGACGGGAATTGAACTTGGGACCCTTCAGTCCACAGATGGATGGATGCTCTATCCACTGGGCCAAACCTGTTAGGGCTCCTTTTTTTATTTTGAAAAAAATCACCCTTAAATAAAACATTGATTATCTAAACAATTATTCCAAATTGTATGCACCATTAAAAATATGACATTAACACTACTTCAATACTATGTAAGATATTATAGGGCCAATAAAAAGGAACAATGTATGATCTCTAACGATCCAGTAAAAATAAGGCAAACGTTGCAATAAGAATGAGCTGAGTAACATTCATGTTTCCCTGGCACGAGAGTGAGGAATGAAGAGACAAAGAAAAAGTCAAGGGAAATTTATTTGAATCGGTGGATTAAAAGTTAACGATTTCAAAGAAGCCCTTGAAGAGTTGTCCTGCGGGGAGTTGGGTTTTCTGCAAGCCACAGGAGACAGCGCCACCTACTGGCCTCCGAATTAGCCCAACGGGTAGGAAGAGGTAAGAGGGGTGGTGGTTCAGGCGCAAAATTCCCCAAAGGTGTGTTTCAAGCTGTTTTGGTGTGGAAGCCACCCTTTACGCCTAACCTCCTCCTCCGTCAGGAAGTTGAGCCCACGGAAGCTTCTTGCATTATGGGCTTCTGGTTTCTAGACTCTTGGGGGAAGGAATGGGAAGTGATGTGACCTGGGGAGTGGCGGAGATCTAAAGCAGCGATTCTCAAACTCCGCTGCACATTTGAATCACCTGGGGAGCTTAAACATCAGGACGCTCAGGCCTACCCTACACCAGAGAAGTGCTCCAGCCTGGGACCCAGGCCCAGGCATCAGGGATGTTTAAATCTCCTCAGGTGACTCCAATGAGTGCTGAGACCAGTAGCTGTCAGGGCCGTGGCACTTCCCCAGTTGGTTTCATCCCTTGCTGACCTCAAAGAACATTCCGTCTAATGCAGAGATCAGCAGAATGGCATGTATATGCTTCTGCCCTGTGTTAGGGCTGTGGTCCCAGGATGCTTTTCTCAAGGTCAGAGAGGCCCCTGCACTTAAAAACAAACAAACAAACAACCCCCCCCCCCCAAAAAAAAAAAACCACACACAAAAAACCTGGAGATTTGTTAAGTACACTGGGTCCCAGGCCCAAATCTACCCTGGTGTTCCCCCACACCAACAAACAGTTCTCAGAAACCAGCAGGGTGTCCAAGAATTCAACTCAGCTCAGACACTATCCTCCTGGAGCTAGCATCAGATTCCACAGGTTAAGGATTCAGGCCTACAGGACTGCCCCGCTCCCCACCTCCACCCGCTTCAGCCACCAGCTGCACACTGTGCTCTGACCTACTGGCCACAGACTGGAGGTTCCAACGATCCCCTCCGACTCAGAATGCTAATCACAAGTCCAGGTTGTCACCTGTACTCCCGACCAACTGGCTATAAATCAGAGGTTCCTTCGGCCCCTCCTTGGGTTCAATTAATTTGCTAGAACAGCTCACAGAATTTAGAAACATTACTTACTAGATCACTGGTTTATTGGAAAGGGATAGAGCCCAGGAACAGATGGAAGAAATGCAAAGGGCAAGGTATGTGGGAAGGGCAGGCACATCCATGCCCTCTCCAGGTATGCTACTCTCCCTGAATCTCTACTGTTCACCAACCTCCCCCTCCCACACACGCTCGCCAAACCTCAGCCTCATGGGTTTTTATGGAGGCTTTGGTTTCCTAGTCATGATTGATTAAAACACTGACCATTGGTGGTTGATTTAGGGGTGGGACTGAAAGTTCCAACCCTCCAATCACATGGTTGGTTCCAAAAGTCACCTCATTAACATAACAAAAGACACCTTTCCCCGCCGGCGTCCGCCTCCCCAACACTTAGGAAATTCCGAGTTTCAAAAACTGTGAAGCAGGAATTGTGAACAAAGCAAAATAGACTGACCTCGTTTTATTTACTTTGCTATATTGCACTTCACAGATGTTGCATTTTTTACAATTGAAAGCAAGACCCTTCACCAGCAAAAAGGTTACAACTTGGTTTATTGCAGTGGTTTGGAACCGAACCCACAATGTCTTCGAGGTATGCCCGTACTCAACCTGGCCTAACAGCAGAATCCAGAGGCATCAGGTATGGCCTGGCTATATACTCCAGCCTCATATTGCGGTGGTTTTCTCAGCTCTGTCCTCCTCTTTGTCAGCTCAGCAAAACTGAAGCAGTTCAAGGCTTCACGTCTTTCAGCCCATTTTCCAGAAGGAAGAGTTTCCCTTCCTCCAAGCCTCCTACCAGAGTTTGGGCTTCATCCTAATTGCACCCACTTATGCCGTGTAATTCACTCCTCAGTCAGGCACGGGAGCAAGGGGATGGGATTCTGCTGACTGGCTCAGACTAACCCAAGCCCGCCCCTGGAAGCTGAGGATCCAATCAGTCCCACCGGAAGGGCTTGGCTGTTTCCTAATGGGCGGGGAGTGGGATGTGCGCCAGGAAGCAGCTGAAAATATCTACTATCTGTTCAAAAATGCCTTGGGCCATCCCACAGCCCCTAAGGAGGACAGCAGGTGTCAGTCTAGCTTGCCATGTGTCATGGTCGCTAATGAAAGTGAGACCCACTGCGGCGTGTGCAGCACCAAAAGCTCCGAACACAACACAAAGAAGGACGCCATCTACCAAAGACGCTTTATTTGTTACCTTTCACATGAACAGTCGACAACAAATAATAGTAACAACAAATACAAGTAACTTGCAAGGGGACCAGACATTAGACATAAATAAGGACACTCTTGACATTAAAGAAAGCCCGTGCTGGATGTGGCTTCTTGGGTATGTGGGGGCCACAGCGCGGCCTCTGTCGCCAGGGAAGGCGGAGGCCTCAGTGAGGTGCCTGTGGAACCCGCATCGCAAGGCTGGACATCTGGACCCAGAGCACAAGCTCCCTGTCCCACCCTCAGCCAGACAGAAGGTCTGCCATTTCAAAGTGACTTCAAGCTCTTGCTCCTGGGATTTTTGTCTTCACTCCTTTCCCCAGGCTCTGGGCCTTGGGTAGGGGCTGCATTAGAGGAAGTGCCCATTTGCTCTCTGAGGAGGGGAATCTGAGGAGGAAGGTGACTCCTGCACCTTGTCCTCACTCATCTCCCAGTCCAGCTTCCTTCTGCCTCTGTTCCTCCTGCTCCTGGTCATGACTTTTCTCCCTGCCTCTTTCACCTACTGGCATTTCAAAAACTCTGAAATGCACCCCGCCATGGACACTGCTGGTCCAAGCCTTCTAATTCACAAAAAGGTCCTGCATTCCATCACTCCTCCAAAACATCGGAGACATGTCTTTTTTTCTGTCTTCTTGGGGTGAGGCCATGTCACAAGCTCCGGCAATTCAAGAGCAATGCAATCCCTACAGCTGAGGGACAGAAGAACCTTAAAAGGTGGTATCTCTTCCTTTGCCGGCACCTCCAGAGCTGATGTGGGAGCATCTCCCAGAAGTGGGTCACTGATCTGCAGGCTACCAACCCAAGAGCAGCATTTCCCCAGGAGTAAACAATCTTGGGAACTTTCCTCTAGATTGGAAATGGTTATTGTTGCCCATCAGGGAGAAAAAAAACAGAACATACCAAACAACAAAACCCTAACCATTGTACAGCTTGGAGAAAATCAACTGTCTTACAAGTGCTAATAGCATCTGAGTGCATTTAATTTCATAGGGACTTAAATAGCAAACAAGCTATCATCATTGCAGACATCCCCAGCTTCCACTCAGAGCGGCTGGATGTCAGATGGAAGAACAATACCAGGCCAGGTCTTCACTGCTGCATTAGTCTCTTCGTCAAAGTAAAAGCTCAGACACTGAGTTAAGGGCCCTTGATGGTTCCAATTTTTTTACCGCCCTAGACAACAAGAGAGAAAGGAAGAAGGAAAAAAAAAAAAAACCTCTTAGAAAAGCAGTGTTCCAACAGCAACACAGGAGAAAATTTAGATGCATAAATTATTTTGATGAACATTCTTTGAATACTGTTTTTAAGTTGGAACCTATCAGTGTGTTAGATCTTTGTCCTATGAGCTAGGATGCATTTTGTCCATTTCACAGATGAGAAAACAACTAACCTGTCCGAGATCACAAAGCCAGTAACAGGAAGGGCAAGGCTTTGAACCCGGTGAAGATACAACAGCCAGGTCCCTACACTGCCCTGGGGCCTTGCACTCAGGAAGCCAAACCAAGCCCACTGGCTCACCTAATAGTCGGGGCGGGGCATGCTTCTCTGTGCGTAGGGGTTCTGCATGAGGCTGTCCTTGGGGAAGGTGGCTTGGACTTTAGGGAAGAGGCTCCCTTCTGCTCCGAGATTGCTGAAGCCTGTTGTCGACATTCTCACACTGTGATAGTCGTTCTCAATCAGGTTCTGTTCTTCAATGCCCTTTGTCTTCGATCTGTAATTAGTAACGGGAATTAGGATCTGACAATGGCAGAAAGTTCCTGAAAGCAAATGCTAATGCCAATATTCTTTTTAAAAAATGTTTTAAAATTTGCAAATATTTTCAAATTTACCGTATTTGAATTACCAAAAAAAATATTGCAGAGTTCTCATACATCATCGCCCAGATTCCCCACTTGTTAACATTTCTGAACCATTTAAGCTTAAGTTGCAGACCTGATGACCCATAACCTATAATATTTCAGTGTAGAGTCCGTAAGCCTGAGGACTGTCTCCTCATAAGCTTCGTGTAACCATTAAAACCAGAGGGCTAACACTGATCCGACATTACCATCTAATTCCACCAGGCCACATAGATTTCGCTAATGTTAGTATTCTTAAGTGTGCTTTTGAATTATTTATGGAAATAACAATAGAAGTCAAAGAGGAAAGATGGTTTGTGATACATTTTTCCATTCAAGCCAAGTCTATGTCTATAGAAGCACCTCAGTGAATGAAACAAGTTCAAGGTGTAGAGGTCTTAATGCCTTTCTGTATTGGCCTCGGGGATAAGCATTTCAAGCCAAGTGAAATTCTTACAGGTGAAGGAGGCATCTGCCCCAATTCACCCTGATCGTGACCTTATTCTTCCTTCTGTCCCTCGGGCCACAGACGTGCCCCTGCAGTGTCCTAGACCAGTGGTCGGCAAACTGCGGTTCGTGAGCCACATGTGGCTCTTTGGCCCCTTGAGTGTGGCTCTTTCACAAAATACCACGTGCGGGCACGCATCTACAATGCAATTGAAACTTCGTGGCCCATGCGCAGAAGTCCATGAGCAGAAGTTCTGCCAGCAAATATATAGAAATCAAGGGCATTTCCCAGGACAGGAACACTTCCATGCCATACCTCAGGAAGATAAGTGCAATCACCATGCCAAGAATGAGGATGCCAGCAATGGTGCCCACGATAGTGAGAATCAGCTGAAATGCTGAAAGGGAAAAGAGAAGAGCTGGAGCAGTATCCTACAAGCAAGCCCCGCTGTCTGTCTCCTGCACAGGTGTGTGTGTTCCGGGGGCTCACCCAATCAGGCTTTCAGCTAGCTCGGACCCCTCCAGGGCCAGCTTGGATGGGTCCCTCACCTCTCCCCACAACCTCCAAACCCCAACGGTATGTTCAGAACTCAATCAGAAGAGGCAGCCTTGCCAGATAAAAGACCAGAAACGCGAAGGTGGCCATGGAGGCCATGGGATCTGTAGGGAATGGGATCTCAACCAAGGACCACACTCCCTCCTGAGCTCCGCTGCCTTTGGCTGCCCCCCACACCTGACCTGGATGATAAGCTGGGGCGGGGGGACCTAGGAGGTTGGGGTTAAGTTGTCACTCATAGAGGAGATAAGCCATGGCTTGGTAGAATCGGTGAGGGGAGAGTCTGCAGGTTCATTACCACCAGCCTCCCTCTCGAGATGTGTTGTCTAGCACGGCTGAGCACTTGAGATGTGGCTATGAGATGGCCGGTGTGTGTAACATGCACAGTGGATTTCAAACACATTTGAAAAACACTGTAAAATATCCCGTGAATAATTCTTATGTTGAAGGGATAACATTGTTGATACAGTGAGTGAAATAAAATGTCATTAAAATCAATTTCTCTTTACCTTTAGAAATTTACTTAGAATTTTACAATTTGAAATTAAATATGATGCTCACATTATATTTCTATTAGATCATGCTGCCCTGGACCCTTTCTCTCTCTGCCACCTGACTGTCATGTATGCCTCCGCCTGGGTTCACGGGGCCGTAGACCATTACACCTCCAAGGTCATCCAGCCTCACCTTCTCATTGTATAGGTGTGGACACTGAAAGCCCGGATGGAAGAAATGACTTAGTATATCCAGTTCTGCCAGCAAATATGTAGACATCGAGAGCATTTCTTATCACTAACTTTGGAGGTGGCTGGAGGCCAAACGTAATATTTCCCTCATCTTGGATCATTTCGTAAAATTTTAAATGTAAAATAATTTAAAATAGACTAGTAAAGTTAGTATTGTCCCAACCTGGTGGGTGTGAAGGGTGGGAGGAAACGAAGCCGTTGAATTTGCAACAACAGATCTCAAACTACTAGGTAGCCCTGAAGCATATGTCAGTATTGAAATGTCTGGTGTCTAGCTCTCCTCTTCCCCAACCACAACCACGTTTGGAATACACGGGTCTTTTATCCTTTCTAGTAGCAGAAAATGCATAGTTAAGCTACTGTTGAAAACGAATAGGACGGTAGGATGCCCTTGGCTGACTGGGAACTTGTCCAGAGGCGCCTGCCCACCTCTTGGGCCGAGTTCTGTGATTTCCTACAGCAAAGGTGCTGCTGTCTGTGACCTGCGGGCGGGAGGGGCTGGCACCACCCAGAGGACACGCTGCAGGCAGGTCCCTCCCTCTCTATGACGGGAGCCAGAGGCTTCGGGGGGCTGGACTGAATTCTGAATGGGATTAATGTTTGTTTTTCAGGTGCTTAACAGCAAAGCAAGACTTTTATACTCACGGTCTTCACAGTTGACTCCACTGTAGCCAAATGCACACCTAAGATACAAGACATGACAGGAAACCATGGTAAAGGGCGTGTGGGAGCGTGTCAGGGTTCCCACCCTGCCCCCACGTCTTCCTTTCCAGCGTTCTCTCATCCTCCCCTCCCTTGTTCTTTCTCCTCTTTCTCTTTCCTTCCTTACAGTCCCAGTCTCCAGGTGAGCATCTTCCATGGAGCTCTAGAAGGTTTGTGTGTGTGTGTGTGTGTGTGTGTGGGGGGGTGTCACATAATCCCAGGAGGTCTTATTTTCTGCTGATGGAATACTCTGTCCCCTGAGCTCTGGGAATATTCAGCAATCCCGGGGGAGCAGAACCCCAGAGGCACGGAGCATAGGGGGACCCCCTCCGGCTGGGAGGCCATGGGCCTCTGCACTGTACGCTGAAGAAAAGGATGGATATCCTCTGAGCTTCAGTTTCCTCACCTGCAAACGGGGACTGACACGTTCCTGATGGTGCTGTTGTGTGAGAGGTATCCCTAGTGTGGCTCCCAGCACACAGAAGTGTCAGAAACTACTGAAGACAACAATGGTGATGATGATGATGATGATGCTCTATACCTACTGACTGACGCCAGGATACCAGCTTTCTGACCCTAAGCCATGTTGCATAAGCTCTATCCTTATCCTTTACCCCCTAACCAGCTCCAGCCATGGCAGGATAAGAAGGGAGTGGTTTCTCTTACGCTTGGCAGCTCCCCTTGGCGTCCCTCTGGTAGCCCGGCAGGCACACGCAGTCAAGGCTCCCACCGCTCTGCACCAGGCACTGCATGTTGTACTCTGCTTTGCAGGTATCAGGACACTTTGGACCCAAAGCTTCAAAACAGAGTGAATTCTGGGTCATCTTCAGAACCAACCTCTTTAGCCCCAAAGTGATACGTCACAGAATACAATTTTTCACATTTCTTTTTCGCGGCAAAATGAGGTGCCCCTGGGCTGTGCACACGGTGTGCCCTGAGAAGCTGCCCATGGGCTGCCACACCAGCTCTCAGCCAAGCCCCTGCTTCAGTCATGTGTCTAGAGCCAAATGTCACAGCCCTCAGAACCTGAGATGCACCTGGACCCTTGAGCAGTAAAGTTTGTGTTTTGCAAATGTGAAAGCAGGGAGGGCAGGCGTTGTGCAGAACATTTAGAAGCAGGTGGAACACTTACCAAGACACAGAGCCGTCTGTGGGTTGGGTCTTGACAGCCCCGGTTTGCACTTGCACTGTAAGATATCACTGCAGTCGTCTTGCTCATTTACACACCCATAGAACTCACACCGATTTTGCTCTGAGGGGCACAGATAATTCCAAAATATATTTGTTGTTATAACTGTTGTTATAATTGCCTTTTAATAAGTTTGGGGATTTAACAAATGAAAATCTGGGATTCTAAAACCCAACTCCCCAATCCTCTCTTCCATGACGATTTCCTTACATTATTCAATTCAAATTAATTCCATCGAAAGCAGTGCAATTATGTTCCAGTTCAAGATTCCTTTTGTACCTCGCTCGATGCTGGGCGAGGGACACAGTAGCTATATAACTTTTGGGTCCCATCTTGGTAGAATTACATGTTTGAATCCACAGAGAGTTGTTTCAAGCAACTCATAATCCAGACTTTAAGTACAATGGGACATTAGGGGCTCAAGTTACTAAAGGTAACATCATGGAGATGGGAATTGGGCTGCCTTGAAAGATAGGGAAGATTTGAACAGTCAGAGGAGAGGCAAAATCTTTCTAAGTAGAGTAAACAAGGCATGAGCAGAAGCAAAGAATTCTTGTTAGGGAGTAGTGGTGTTGTATGTGGGTAGGGGAAAGGCAGTGTGGTAAAGGGGAAGAAATAGAAAATTCTTGGCTGTGCCATTGGGGCTCTTGGCTATGGGCTCTCTCTGTTCAATCATTTGATTTTTGGTGGGTCCAAGTTCCCTCAATCTGTAAAATGGGGCGAGTAATTCTTACTTCACATGATTGTTGTGAGAACTGAATGAGCTAATGTAAGTGCACGCCCACTGTCGGAGTCTCAACAAATAATCATTCTTTTGTTCATTCATAGGTGTAGCAGGGTTTGAATGCCAGGCTAAGGACCAGGACTTTTATCCCATAAGCCTGAGAATCCATTGGTAGATTCTGAGCAGGAGCAAGGTGTGAAAAAACAATCTTTGAAGAATGTTAGTCTAGAATGGGTAAAGAGGTGATTATATATATATATATATATATATATATATATATATATATATATATTAGAATATCACTCAGCCATAAAAAAGAATGAAATCTTGCCATATATGACAACATGGATATATATAGGTCCTAGAGGATATTTTGCCAAGTAAGATAAATCAGAAAGAGAAATACCATATAATTTCATGTATATGTGAAATCTGAAAAACAAAATAAACAAACAGAAACAAACTCATAGGTACAGAGGACAAATTGATGATTACCAGATGGGAGGGAGAATGAGGGAGTGGATGAAAAAGACAAAGGGATTAAGAAGTGCAAATCACCAGTTATAAAAATAGTCACAGGGATGTACAGTACAGCACAGGGAACATAGTCAATAACACTGTAGTAACTGTATGGTGGTAGATGGGTACTAGACTTATCAGGGTGATCACTTTGTAAGGCATATAAATGTCGAATCACTATGCTGTACACTTGAAACTAATATAATATTGTATGTCAACTGTAGCTGAAAAATAGATTTTAAAAGAATGTTACTCTAGAAGCAGGTTGGAAAGCATTTGGAATAAAAAGATGAGTCTGAGACTAGACTAGGGGGAGAGAACAGGAGGTAGAACAGTTATGTGGATACTCTCTTCCAAACATCCCAGACCTGTAACAAACCTTCCTTCATGCTATTTAAAAATGCCTCCGATTAAAAGTCTAGAGAAAAAGATTCTACAACTTTTGACACAGAAGGCAGACCCTGTCTTTGCAGCAGAGGCAGGAAGCAGAAAAAGGTGTTTCCCCCTAAAACAGTGGTTCTCAACCTTCCTAATGCCGTGACCCTTTAATACAGTTCCTCATGATGTGGTGGCCCCCAGCCATAAAATTATTTTCGTTGCTACTTCATAACTGTAATTTTGCTACTGTTATGAATCGTAATGTAAATATCTGATATGCAGGATGTATTTAGGAGACCCCTGTGTCACAAAGAGTCGTTTGACACCCAAAGGGGTCGCGACCCACAGGTTGAGAACCGCTGCCCTAAAAGTTCTGAGCCTCTCACTTCCCTTTGCTGGGCGTACAGGCTGCTGTGGCCACGTCTAACTGGCATCCTTTGGTAATTTGTTAATATATGTAAGAGCGCATGCCTGGTCTCAGAGGGGAGAGATGTTGAGAGGAGTTGTCAAGAGAGAGCAATTCTCCAGCCAAGGTCAAATGGTTTCAAGTGTGCCAGGGCTTCAAGCCAAGGCGGTTACAGAGGAGAGCCCAACCGAGAGAATTACACAGGGGACCCCAACTTTATCTTGAAGAATGCACGGCTTATTTTCAGCTGGCAACCACTCTGCATGGCCAGTCTCCATGCTGATGGGGACCCCCGGCTTCCTCGCACTTGCTAGAAGTCTCATCTAGCCAAAAGCAGAGTGTATGCAAAGGTTCATCTTGCCTTGCTGACAATTTCATCTTCCAGGGAGTAGGGGTTGGGACGGCCTGAATTGCTACTCTGCACCGAATTCTGGCCCAAGGAGAAATCGATGGGCAGGTAGAAGTGATGGGTCCCTTGGAATACAAGAACGAAGTGATAGCCAGAGAGAGGAGTATGACTTTGACGGAGTAAAAATTGGAATGTTCAGAAGGGAAAAGGTGTAACTCTGTGGCACGAGACCCTGAAAGACGAATTCAATTCTGAAAATGTAATTCTAACTGTGCAGTTGCTAAATGAGCTGTAAAAAAAAAAATGTGGGGAGAGGGTCAGGGAATAGAAACTGGCATGGTTTGCACAGGAAGCTGTCAAATGAGACATAGAAAATATGGAAAGAAGGTCCCAAACCAAAGACAGAATATTAAAAGTGTGAGAGAAAGGCGAGAGCCCCCAAAGAGCTCAATAACCAAACCCAAAACAACAACAAAATCCAGCAACAAAGGGCAAAGGGATGAAGTGGGAAAATGGGTAAACGAATGGAGGGGTGTGTGTGTGTGTGTGTGTGTGTGTGTGTGTGTGTGTGTGTGTGTTATGTGTTTTCCATGCTATAGGGGCTCAAGGAGAGGCCAGCCTGTTTGGTGTAATGTTGATGGCTAACATAGGACAAACAGAACGGCTCCCAACTATTCTCTCCAGTCTCCCTGCCAGAAAATGACACTTAGATGGAAAGAGTTGAATGGACATGGCTGTCGGGACTGCAGCCCAAGGAGAGCAAACAGTAGTAGGAGCCCCCATCTCTTCCAGTAGAATTTAAATGTCTTATCATAGAGCATTTACACTCCAGGTCCTGAGAGAATAGTGAGGGTCTTTGAGAAGAGGTGCTGGAACGCTATAAATGAACAGGATTTATTTATATTTTCAGAAAGAGAAGTTTGGGACCCTAGGTCAAGGAGGTCACAATCATTAAAGAGTAAACATTGTAAGAGACTAAAGAGTTTTAGAAACATCGAAGAAAAGGACGGGGGAGCCAGGAAGGGAATCGGGAGTATGATGGGGTGGGGGGTGGGGCGCAGGGAGAAGAGGACCTCAGGACGGGAAAGTACCCGTGTCAAATGCTGCAGACAAACCAACTGTGCCTTGGCAGACGCGTTTGGACTTGGCAGCCAGGACTGAGAATCAGTTGTACAATGCTTCCACCGTAGCTGGCTCTCTGAGATGGGGAACTTCTGATGACTGCTGTAATAGTGTCAGTTTACTCATGCCTTCCTGGACCCATGCCCTTTGCTAGGGCCTGACACACTGCTCTTGGCCATGTGAATTGCTTTGGCCATCACGACAGCTATAAATGTGCCATAAGCAGAAACTTGAGAAATACCTATGCTTTGAGACACCCTCTCGCTGCTTTTGAAACTCTTTAGGACTAGCCTGCTGAAGGATGAGAGACCATGTGGAGCAGAGACAAACCATCCAGCTGAACCACCTTAGATCAGTCAGCCCCCAGCTGACCCACCCAGCAGCTAACAGCAATTGCTTAAAGTGAGCCCAGCAGAGATCAGCCACGCCTGGCATAGATCAGCAGACCTGCTCGGCTGGACCCAGCCCAAGTTCTGACCCACAGAATGATGGCATTGCAATAAATAAATAGGCCGCTAAGTTTTGGGGTGGTTTGTAACACAGCAAAAGTGAATTGTTACAGCAAGGCTATGAGTTTGTGTATCTGCCTAAAAGGGAAGCAGAATAGGTAAAATTTCTCTAATCCAGCGGTTCTCAGCCTGTGGGTCGCGAACAATGAAAATACATCCTGCATATCAGATATTTACATTACGATTCATAACAGTAGCAAAATTACAGTTATGAAGTAGCAACGAAAATAATTTTATGGTTGGGGGTCACCACAACATGAGGAACTGTATTAAAGGGTCACGGCATTAGGAAGGTTGAGAACCACTGCCTTTTGGAAAGCTATAACTTGGAATAAAGCCCTCTTGTTTCACCTTGCTTCCTCTTTCCCTGTCCAGAGACTATTTGTTCAAGGCTACCTTCCAAAAAGAGAAACAAACTGGTCAGTTTGAGGAGTTGAGAGATAGTTAGGAAGGAGTAGAAAGCAAGTGAGAGAAGAAAGGGAGTAAGAATGGACTAGTGGAAAGTCCATTCTTGGAGATCTATAGATTCAGTTATTCAATTCCTCTTGCCCCCTTCTTACATATAATGAGAAAGTTTACAAAAGGGTAGGTGGATGTTCAGGTAAATTTTGAATAAAATTATTTCATACTTACTAGTATAGTCTGAAAAGGTATTAGGGTTGCTTGCAACTGCTTTATTAATTGCGTTAGATACGGTCGTCTCATTTTCTTCTGAAGTTTCTGCAAAAAGGTTTACTACTGTTACATCAACCAGCTTGTCACCAGCACGCATTTCAGATCTTGCTGGAGCAGATGTTCTGAAAATGAAATGAATTCACCACTTGAGGACGTGAACACAAGCATCCACAGATTGGTCTTTGAACTTCCTGTCCAACCAAGTCTCCCAGTTCCCTTCCTGATGCACAGATACAGCCATAGTTAGGGGCCTAATAAGGAGGCTGGGGTTGCAATAAGGTAGCAATTTATAGGCCCAGAGTTTTCTGCTCAATGTGTGTTCAGAGGAAACCTATGGCTAAAGCAATATCCCATTGGAGGATCCTGAGAAAAATTGTGGACAATCATTTTTAGAATCTAGGAGCCTGGGACTAACCAGATGGTCCCAGGTATACAGATGAGGTAACCCAAGTTCAGAGAGGTTCAAACAACTGCCCATCCATGCAGCCAGGAAGCGCCATGGCCAGGATTCAGATTTGTCTGAAGCCATCCCTCCCCACTATTCCTGTGTTATCCAGTCATGCTACAAGCAGGAACTCCCTGTTGTCCACTAAACCAAAGCAAAGGCCTGGAACGGGGCCAGCCCTCCAGCAGCCATCCCCTGTGAACTTCCAGCTCAGAGCCTCTGTGTCAGGGACCCGCCTCTCTGCCTGCTGCCTGCCCCTTGCCACGCGCCACTGTGCCTGCCCTTAGTCTGCCTTCTGGTCTCCTGGCTGCCAATCACACTTGCCCCTCATTTACCATCAGCTCAAAACTCACCAACTTCAGGAGGCTTTCTCTGAATTACATGCATAAATATACACTGTATCTTATTCCACAAAGAATTGACAAAGCTTATAAAGATAGATGTGATAGTCAAAGCATAAAATATGGATTCATTAGGGCTGCTTTTCCTGCACAACTTCATTCATCCTAGAGCAGTGGTTCTCAACCTTCTGGCCCTTTAAATACAGTTCCTCATGTTGTGGTGACCCCCAACCATAAAATTATTTTCATTGCTACTTCATAACTGTAATGTTGCTACTGTTATGAATCGTAATGTAAATATCTGATAAGCAGGATGGTCTTAGGCGACCCCTGTGAAAGGGTCATTTGACCGCCAAAGGGGTCGCGACCCGCAGGTTGAGAACTGCTGTCTTAGAGCATTCTTTCCTAGGGCTGCAGCACCTGGGAGTGAATGTGCTTCCGAGAAGGCTGATACAGAACCGCTAACTTCTTGAGACCCCTTTGCCTCTTTGTGTCCCTAAATAGCCCTCAACACTGGTCACTGCATATTGATGTGCTCAATAAGTGCTTGTTTTTACTGCAGGAAGAGCTCAGTACTGGTTCTTCAGCAGCCACTGGTGGGATTTGGGTGTTGTCTCCCTCACTTCCCCCATATGAGGGAAGAGATGACCATGAGCCATTCATTCTTTTCCTAGCCCCTGGAATGCACATTCCGGGGATTGACCAGGTGTGGTTTGTAGCCAAGGGGTCAAACCAAACAAACGGATCCAGGTGATGCCCTGGACCATGCATGCAAATTGCTAAAGAGCCAATCACAGACAGCATCTTGCTGGCCTCAGGGTACAGTCTGCCCAGCCACACCAAGGTCAGTGTGACATCAGGCTGACTACCTCTTCCTGACGTGTGACTTCCCACTGGCGGCCTTAGTGCTGCACAGGGAACTCAAGAGAAGATGAGAAGTCAAGCAAACGCACACCAAAGTACCCCACCGGTCCATAGCAGCCTTACCTTACTCTATGAATCACAGTCTGTCCATAATCAGGATTTTTAAATGCATCTGCAAACTGTGGCAGAGAAGAACAAATTTAGTAACAGCTACCAAGAGGCAGGGAAAGTGATACTGTATCTAGGTTTTAACATACATACATTTCTAAACTCCTGTATATAAATACACATGGTTCACTGCAGAAATTATTTATTCTTGATATGCTCTCTAACACCTTTCAGTAATGTTTGCTGTAAAATGGTAAGAATGTAATATAAGTCAGGGTTATCCAAGAAAAAGTTGGAAACCTAAAAAAGCAAAGTCAATGGTCATACTCTTAAAAATTAAGGTGACTAACTTATTAGGTTTGTCTTTTTAAAGTCACGGTAAAGTTTTGCGTATTTATTAGACGTATCTGCCTGCTCCATACACGCATCAATTCACCTATGGAACACTTCTTCAGTTGTCTGCAAGGCAAGTGCACCAGGGGATAAGAAGGCAGGCGCTATCCAATCAGGCCTGCCTGGCCGCCACTGCACAACAGAGCCAGCAAGTGAGGAGAAGGCAGGTCTGAGGTCAGGCAGATCTGGGTTCAAATCCCAACCTTCTCCCTCATCAGCCTGGTGACCTTCAGAGGGCTCCTTCACTTTCCCGGTCCTTGACTGCCTAATCCACAAAATAGGCACCAGAGTATTCTCTCTCCCAGAGGCCTCTTTGGAGAATTAGAAGTATTACACATACAATGCCAGGTCCCGCATGCAACAGGGCAACTCCAAATCAGGGACTAGCCATTTGGGTCCAGCTGGGTAAAACAATGGATCCTGGGAGACTTCTCAAGGTCTGAGCTGGGACTGCCCCAGCTACCAAGTCTGCTGAGAGGACCCTGCAGAAAGGAACTTGTCTCTATTTTCCTATCTCTCAGAGTTGCAAGGGAGTTCTGGCACATCCCTTTTGGATTCACAGCCTCTTGGAAATGAAAAGAACTCTCTCTCCCCTTCCTGGTGCCCCTGGGACCATCAAGACCTGACTGAGACCAAGTCCCTAAACTGGTCTCTGGAGCTGGAGGGGCCTTTTGGTGGCCATAGTGGCCAGTGCTGGGTAAAGGCACACGAGAAAATCCAGGGCCCCCTGGGAGGAGGAGCACCTTGACGCTGCCTTCTTCAATGTACTGATTTTCATCCAGGCCGGCAAATGGGAACGTGGATCCAGAATAAGAGGAGACGACATGGGCAGCTGGCCCGTTGGGCACAGGGGCATGACCGGGGCCAGGGCAGCCGGGGTTTTATCCCAGCAGTGCCAGGCACCAGCTGTTCCATCCTGGGCACCAGTTCTCACTGTACAATCTGTAAACTCGTTTGGATAATCTTTTTTTATATGTTATCAATTCTAATAACAAAACTCTTTCATAATGATGTAATTCCGAATGGAAAGACATTGTCATAGAATAAGACCTTAGTTTTTACGGTAATGTCTTGCTACACTTTGGGAAACACTGGCTGGATGCCCTCTGCAAGCCCCTGCAGGCCCCACGCCTGTGGTTCTGGCATGGAGATCTCGCGTGGGCACAGCCGCTCACGATACCACAATGGAAAGGAGCAATTGTGCACCCTGGCATTTTTGACAAGAGGGAGGAAGCGGACCAGATGCGCCTTCAGATGGAGCTCCTCTTCCAGGTATTAAAAAACTCACACTAGCTCAGAAATGTATGCAAATTGGAATGAGAAAAAAAAAGGAACATCTTTAAAGGTTTTCTGTTCAATTCTGTGGAAATAATTCATTTTAAAACATCATTATATTTACCTGCTCATTTAAAAACATTCTAAGAGCTTATGTAACGACCGGAGTGGCATGGCTGGGGCGAGGACCATGGGGAGGCCCAGTGCCCGAGGAAGGTTCCAGGGACTCAGGTCAGCTGCTGTTCACCGACCAGTCCGAGTGCATTTCGCTGCTTGAACAACTACTGGGACAGCTGTTCCACCTGAGTATCAGCCCTCTGCTCTGCGACTCAGTGTTATACAGGAAGGAAGGTTGGGAAACACTTACGAATTTTCTAATTTGCATGTATAACTTTTCATAGGCCGGCGACTTTTCATTTTCCAAGCCAGTTGTTTCTGATACCTTTACTTTAATTGTTCCAGGGAAAACCTTTCCTGAAATTCAAGCAGAATCTTTCTGTAATGTTTAATTTAAAGAGGGTCATTTTCATGTTGTTTAAAAACATACTTTAAAAGAATTCTAAGCATTATATGATGCTGTGACAGGAAGCCTGGAAATGCGATAAATGTTACCCCAAATCCCACCCAGCCTAACACAGCCATTTCCATTTTGGTATAAGGTATCCCCAACTTTGCAAAAGGGCGCTTTATTCTACTTCACTTTGACGAAAGGCCTACATCAGGACCTGTTTCGTGAACCAAAAAAAACCCTGAGGATTTTTGCTTTTATAAAAAAAGGTGAAAATCAAAAATAGTGTTCAGCGTTGTAAGTAATTAATTAATTTTTTAATCCTCACCTGAGGGTATTTCTTTTCCATTGATTTTTAGAGAGAGTGGAAAGGAGGGGGAGAGACACACAGAGAGAAACATCGATGTGAGAGAGACACACATCGGTTCGGAGCTGGGGGATCAAGCCTGCAACCAAGGTATGTGGCCTTGACCGGAATCAAACCTGTGACCCTTCAGTCCACGGGCCGGTGCTCTAACCACTGAGCAACCATCAGCATTCAGCATTTTGCAGCAAGCTGCTATAGAGGCAGCTCACACCCTGAGCAGTGAGAGTGGCCCACCAGCTCCTTCCCTAGAAACACCCCTCAGCATCCCAGCACCAAACAGCCATAGCTCTGCACTGTGTCTGCGCTTTATCTCTGTGTATTTTGTGCTGTGTTAGCAGGATGTCTCCTAAGGTAATTGCTTCTTCATTTTACACCATTTCGGTGTACAAAAGGTTTTAGTGGAAAGCTCTGCTTTCAGATAGCAGGGAAATCTATATTTCCTCCAGTTCCTTTTTTTCCTATGCATAGTTTATATCATTATAATTCCAAATTTATAGCATTAATCTTCTTTACTTATATATATACTAATAAAAGGGTAATATGCTAATTGGACCGGGTCCACCAGACATCTTCAACTTCCTTCCGGACAAAGCCATGGTGGTGGGAGCCGAGGCAGAGGTGGTTAGGGGGTGATCAGGCTGGCAGGAGAGCAAGCAGTTAGGGGGCAATAAGGCCTGCAGGGGAGCAAGCAGTTAGGGGGCAACCAGGCCAGCAGGGGGCCAGTTAGGGAGTGATCAGGCCAGCAGAGGACGAATTAGGGGGTGATCAGGCTGGCAGGCAGAAGTGGTTAGGGATGATCAGGCAGGCAGGCAGGCAAGTGGTTAGGAGCCAGCGGTCCCAGATTGTGAGAGGGACATCCAAGATTAGAGAGGATGCAGGCCGGGCTGACGAGCCCCCCTCCCCCCCCCCCAGTGCATGAATTTTGTGCACCGAGCCTCTAGTTATTAAATAATAAGCATTTTAAACATTTTCCCAAATCATTACCTGGTCTTTATAGCTATTATTTTTTAAAGCTGCATAGTATTCTGTGAAATATATGTTCCCTTCATTGATGTAATCATTTTTGTTTTTTAGCACTTCTAATTATTTAAAAGGGGGGAGGTTGCAATGAACATATTCATGTCCATGCCTCTCTATATTTGGGGTCATTGACTTAGAGATAATCCCTAGAAATAAGATTATTAGCATGAAAAATAACATCCTTTCGAATTTTGAAATACCTCTAATCCCTGTGGCCAATACTATGCATTTGTTTTCTATACAATTGATCTACTCTGGCAAGGGGGGGATTTCTCATTCATGAAAAATAGAAGTTTATTACAGGAAACAGCCTTGGAAACTTCACAGCACCCAGCTGATCTAACCAAAAAGGTGTTATGTCAAGTTTATGGCCGTTTGCTCTAGTGTCCATTTCTAGACCCGAGAGGCTCTGAAGTCTCTAAAAATGGGGTTTGCTATTATGGAGCCAGCAAATCCTATGGCAGAGAACCAACCAGGCCTGTCTGAACACGTGGTCTTAAGCACTTCCCCTCATTCTGCCGCAGGGTCCCCACACGCCAGCACTACTTTGTGCAGTTGTTGTACCTTTTCAGGGCCTTCGACACCTGTCATTCCCATTGTGTCCTCATGGCACTGTTCCCTTGGACAGGAAAAGTGAAGGGACACATCCACTCCCAGACCTCAGGACCAGCCCACCAACCTGACTGCCCATTTCCTCCCACACTTGGTTCCACAGAGACAAAGGCAGGAGCCATCTTTGTAGTTTACTGGCCTTTGTTGCCTCCAAATGTTCCTCTTCCTCTCGTATCCTGGAAGCTCTCTTGCCATTATTTTAAGTTTTTGATTCCACTTTAATTAATTAATTATTTACTATATTTTTATTGATTTCAGAGAGGAAGGGAGAAGAAGAGAGAGATAGAAACATCAATGATGAGAGGGAATCATGGATTGGCTGCCTCCTGCACGTTGGGCCAAGCCCGCAACCCAGGCATGTGCCCTTGATCAGAATCGAACCTGGGACCCTTGGGTCCACAGGCCGAGGCTCTATCCACTGAGCCAAACCGGCTAGGGCCTATTCCACTTTAGGTATGAGGTACAGCTCTCCATGGTTCATCCTTTATAACTCACCTTTATTGCATTTGGAAGAATTATAGTAATACCCATCAATACACAGGCAAAAGTATGAGTTATTCAGACCCACACACGAAGCATCACTGCCACAGGAATCTTCTTTGCAAAGACCTGAGATGGAATAGAAAGAGGTGAAAAATCCACAGAACAACAAATAACACCCAGAAACATACTTTTACATTTTCATGCCTCCCTCCTGGGAACCTTCTATTCCTTGGTTGTGTTATTCCAGGGCACACCCTGAGAGGAGTCAGAAACAAATACATATTTTCTTATGTGTCTAGGGAGCTTGTGGCTGAAAGTCTGGAACAGGTGCTTGTGAACAGTAAAGGTCAGAGCTTGGTGGCAAGACTGTGCTCAGAGCAGTCTTCTAATTCCCAGGAGCCAGGAATCCCTGCACCTCAAGGAACCTCAGGAACCTTGGTGTCTGACCCTCTAACACCAGATAGGGCTCCCCAAACTATTTTATAGAAATCATCATATTTTTAAAAGTGTATTTTATTTTGCCATCACCATTTATCTCTATGTTCTCTTCCACCCCCACCCCCACCCCCACCGGCAATCACCACACTGTTGTCCATGTCCTTGAGTTGTCTCTCTCTCTCTCTCTCTTTTTTTTTTCTTTTTTGCTCAGTCCCTTCAACACCCTTCCACCCCAGCTGTCTGCCTACTTTCTATCTATGAGTCTGGCTCTAGTCTGCTTGGTAGTTCAGTTTGTTAATTCAAGTCAAAATATGAGTGAAATCATGTGCTACTTGTCTTTCTCTGGCTGGCTTATTTCACTTAGCATAAGGTTCTCCAAGTCCATCCCTGCTGTCGAAAAGGGTGACATTTTCTTCCTTTGTACAGCAGAGTAGTATCCCATTGTGTAAATGTACCACAGCTTTTTTATCCACTCATCTACTGATGGGCACTTGAGCTGTTTCCAGGTCTCAGCTATTGTAAATAAAGCTGCTATGAACATAGGGGGTACATATCTTCTTTCAAATTACAGAAAGAATATATTTTAAAGAAGGTATAAGTAACTGTATTATAGGGATGAACAGGCAAGAAGCTCCAAAAAGAAACTAGATGCTATCTTCTGGTTAGCATACATGATATACAGATCCATAATGTGCCGGAGACCAGCTCCAGCGTGTCATAATTTCAAGAGTTTCATCAAAAGGTTGATGAGACTTGGGGACTCAACAGGGTTGAGTCACAAATGTAGTCAGTCACCTGTTGGAAATGGCTGAAGGCATTTCCCCAAACCTGAATAGGAAACTGATTGTGGCTGCCAGACAGCTAAAAGGCATTTTAATCTACATGTTATTGCCTCCTACTGGCCAAACACCTGAACAGCCGTAGGCTAATTCCTCCATTCTGACATGGACTCTGTACTAAACCCTGACCCTTTGAATTTGTATATCTCTGCCTCGCCTCAGGACAAGTTGTGTTAATAAAAACCACGGGGTCCTGGGGACGGAGAGAACCTAAGACCTTAGACTTAAGATCTTGGATCTTAGCTCCTTTAGCTAAGCTCCTCTGACCCCCAATGCCTTTCAAAATTATATCTCGTCTCCGGACTCTTTATTAGTCTCTGGGTTCCTATAACATCTACACACAGCCTTCTCCAGATTCCTGAACCCTTCTTGATGCTGGGACAAGAACCCCGGCAATAATGAAAAGATGGGAATGTTAAGGGGAGAATGTGGATTAAGTCAGTGACCATTCTAAGAGGAATTGATGAAATGACACTCCACCCTCTGGCTTTCTGAGTGGATGACTTGAATAAATGGTTAGGATAATATTGCAGTTGTTTTCTGCACTGCTGGCTGGGACCCCAGACCAGGCTGGGTGAGGCATCTTTTTTTATCTCCAGAGATCAGATGGAATCCAAGGAAGAAAGTTAGGTCAGTGGCCAAATGATGATCTTGGCTGGCCATTTTATTCATCTCTTCAAATGAAATGATTCTGAATAAATTAAGTGTCTGACAACCTTCAGAGTTGTCTGATTGCTTATGAGCCTTTAGGTGGATATAGCTTTTAAAAAAAAATCTACATATAAGGTACAATGTGTATAACATGCTCTTTTTTGTGATTAAAAGGGGGAATGCACACCCAGCCGGTGTGGCTCAGTGGTTTGAGCATCCACCCATGAACTAAGAGGCCACTGGTTCAATGCCCTGGGTCAGGGTATATGCCTGGATTGCGGGCTCCATCCCCAGTATGGAGCACACGGGAGGCAGCCAATCGAAGATTCCTTCACATCATTGATGTTTCTACCTCTCTCCCTCTCCCTTTCTCTCTCTCTAAAATCAATAAAAACATATGAAAAAAAGGGGGGAGAATACACAAAAACACACAAATATGTATGTTTATATTTGTATAGATTATCTATAGAGGAGACACAAGAAATTGGCCATGGAACTGGCCTCTGGGAAAGGAAACTAGAAACCTGGATCCTAAGGATTTAGGACAGGAGGGAGATTTAGTTTTTACTGACTATACTTTTACCCTGTCTAAGCTTCTTTTTCCACAACTAGTGGCCCCTCCAAACACGAAAGTCTGGGAGCCAGGTCGTACATAAAGGCTCCATTTGCTTAATCACCGTTTATTTTAGATCTACCAGAGAACACTGGGGAAGCCGAAAGACGTGAGTGTAGGGAGACTCAGCTTGTTCTGTGACCTGGGGTAAGTGGCTGCCTCCTCGAGGCCTCTGTTTCCCTATCTGAGAGCAACAGGGTTTATCCAGACCCTTCAAGCCTAGGTTTGAGGATTCTTTTAGACCAGGGGCTGACAAACGATGACTCATGAGCCAAATCTGGTCAATTTTCTGTTCTTAAAGTTTTATTGGTGCACTGCCAGGCTCATTCCTTTGTATAGTGACTATAACTGCTTCTATGTCAAAATGGCAGAGTGGAGTAGTTGCAAGGAAGACCCTGTTGTGACCCACAAAAGGTAAAATATTTACTAGTTTGCCTTTATCGATAAAGTCTGCTCACCCCTATGCTGGACCAAGCTTTGGGAAATGAGTCAGGTGGTTTGTTTCAATAACTTTGGCTTGAGGTCAACTCTTAGACAGTATTCCCAGCACACCTGGCCTTTGGACAATGGCCCCGGTCATGTCTAGGGCTGTGTGAGCACTGCTGTTGCTTGGCTTTTTATCCCTCGGGCTCAAATTCCACAAATTGGCTCAAACTCCTGATTATGATTGGCCACCATCATAACCTGTCCCATTTTTCAATAACACCTGAGAAGGAATAAGGGTAGAGCTGACTCCTTCCTTAGATAAAGGAGCTAGCAGGGTTTCGGGGGGGGGGGGGGCGCTTAGTGGGGAGGGAGAGTGTGAAGCATTGGTGCTTATTTGGACCTGGCCTTCACAGAGAAGCTGAAACTATTTTTGAAAACCCCTAGGGATGGGGCAGTTAGAGAAATGCCTTTCATAAAGTCTAAATTTATAAAAATATTCCACATCTGGCAAATAGCTTGAGGTAGGATGGGCAGTAAGGAAAGGAGAACAGAAGGGAACTGTGGGTAATTTTTTAGGGCCTCGGCCATCACTACTAGCTGCTGTGACTCAGACTTTTGAATTCCAAGGGTTCTTATCCAAGGAAAGCTTGAGTCTCTATAACCACTTCCCTATCCCAGCAGAACATACTTGCCTGCCACCCTCCACAATGCTGACTCCTCAGTGAGGTGTCTTTGAAGGAGTTGTTCTTACCTGGTGAATTGACACTGCTGGAAGTAGGTGCTATCGTGGTGGTGGTAGTGGTTGCGGGAGCTGGGGCGGTGGTAGTGGTAGCGGGAGCTGGGGCGGTGGTAGTGGTTGCGGGAGCTGGGGCGGTGGTAGTGGTAGCGGGAGCTGGGGCGGTGGTAGTGATAGCGGGAGCTGGGGCGGTGGTAGTGGTAGCGGGAGCTGGGGCGGTGGTAGTGGTAGCGGGAGCTGGGGCGGTGGTAGTGGTTGCGGGAGCTGGGGCGGTGGTAGTGGTAGCGGGAGCTGGGGCGGTGGTAGTGGTAGCGGGAGCTGGGGCGGTGGTAGTGGTTGCGGGAGCTGGGGCGGTGGTAGTGGTAGCGGGAGCTGGGGCGGTGGTAGTGGTAGCGGGAGCTGGGGAGGTGGTAGTGGTTGCGGGAGCTGGGGGGGTGGAAGTGGTAGCGGGAGCTGGGGCGGTGGTTGTGGTAGCGGGAGCTGGGGCGGTGGTAGTGGTAGCGGGAGCTGGGGTGGTGGTAGTGGTAGCGGGAGCTGGGGCGGTGGTAGTGGTTGCGGGAGTTGGATTGGTGGCAGTGGTTGTATCTTGGCTGATGGCTGAAAGAACAAAGATGCCAAGTTTCAGAAGGCAGAACATTAACTATGTAATGACTGTTGCTATCTATATATACACTAGAGGCCCGGTGCACAAAATTTGTGCATGGGGGGAAGGGTGTCCCTCAGCCCGGCCTGCCCCCTCTCACAGTCCAGCAGCCCTCAGGGGCAGGAGGCAGGAGACCTGGTGATCAGAGGAAGGTGACGCCCCATCACACCTCTGCTGCTGCCACTGCCGGCAGCGCAAGCCTCAGCCGGCCCTGGTTACCTGAGCCTCAGGTGGTCTTAGGTGGCTGGGCAGCCGCCATCCAAGGCTTGCCTGTGCCTTGGGCTGGCCCTGGAAGACTGAGGGGACTGGGCGCCGCCATCTTGTGGCTGTGGGTGCCACCATATTTGAGGGTGTGGCAGTCAATTAGCATATTCCCTCCTTATTGGCTGTGAGCACCGCCATCTTTGCAATGGTGTAAGGGTCAATTAGCATATTCCCTCTTTATTAGATAGGACTAGTAAAAGCCTAAGTGACCTTTCAACTGTTCGACAGTAGCTGTACGCTCACTGACCACCCGAGGGCAGATGCTCAACACACAGGCATGGAAACATGGAACAGACTGATGAATCTCAGAGGGAAGCGGGGAGGAGGAAGGGCGGGAAGAGATTTACCAAAGATCATATATGCATACTAGAGGCCCAGTGCATGGATTCATTCACCAGTGTGGTCCCTCGGCCTGGCCTGCGGGGATCGGGCTAAATCTGTGCACCAAGCCTCCGACATACCCTGAGGGGTCCTGGATTGCGAGAGGGCACAGGCCAGGCTGAGGAAAATCTGTGCACAGGGCCTCTAGTTATTTAATACAACAGTTGACCCTTGAACAACACAGGTTTGAACTGCCTGAGTTCAAATTATACTCGGATTTTAAAAGTCAAACCTGTGTTGTTCAAGGGTCAGCTGTAATTAGTACCCAATTAATTTTTTTCTGAAAAATAAATGCAAGAGGTGCTTGAATAATGTTGTTTCATTCAACATTTTTTTGCAATAACGTTGATGAGATGTAGGAACTTAACTTCTGTTTGCATCAATTAGCCTATGTAAAACTGGTTTCAATATACATCATTTTGCTTTAAGTTGCAGAACCTATTCACAAGGTGAGGACTTACTATTTAGTTGACAACATTAAAAACGAAAATATATGACTTCTTCAAAACACACACACAAACTCACATTAAATTAAGTTAAAAATTAAACAGATAAAACTGGGGAAATGTTATTAAAATATGACAGAGTTCATGAATACCAAGGAGTAATATCATTTATGCCTGTAGTTGTAGAACTGTCAATCCGTCACCAGGTGGCGCTGTTACAACCTGGAAATGGACTTCTTTGTCTTTTCACAGTTTAAGACAGTGCTTCTCAACCTTCCTAATGCCGTGACCCTTTAATACAGTTCCTCATGTTGTGACCCAACCATAAAATTATTTTCGTTGCTACTTCATAACTGTAATTTTGCTACTGTTATGAATCGTAATGTAAATATCTGATATGCAGGATGTATTTAGGTGACTCCTGTGAAAGGGTCGTTCGACCCCCAAAGGGGTCAAGACCCACAGGTTGAGAACCGCTGGTTTAAGGCAATTGTCCCAATTTATCATTACATGGCAAAGCTGTTGACAGGTATGAGAGAAGGGGAGGAGTGTGTTTAAAGAATGATGAAATAAAAAACTTCATTAAGTGTCTATTAAAACTCCAAAAATTCCAGACACATGAACTTTTTAAAGAGTAAGATGAACAGAGATGATCTTTGCCCTAAGGGCTATGGTGATCATCAAAGTTGTCTTTTTTTAAAAAAAAACTCTTAGACACCTTTGGACATATGGGTTAGTACAGTGGTTCTCAACCTGTGGGTCATGACCCCGTTGGGGGTCGAACGACCCTTTCACAGGGGTCGCCTAAGACCATCAGAAAACACATATATAATTACATATTGTCTTTGTGATTAATCACTATGCTTTAATTATGTTCAATTTGTAACAATGAAAATACATCCTGCACATCAGATATTTACATTACGATTCATAACAGTAGCAAAATTACAGTTTTGAAGTAGCAACGAAAATAATTTTATGGTTGGGGGTCACCACCACATGAGGAACTCTATTAAAGGGTCGCGGCATTAGGAAGGTTGAGAACCACTGGGTTAGTAAATGGTTAGTGATCCATTGATCAGTTTTCTAGAACCCTTAATTGTCTTTAGAACTCTGACATTGATAATCGGTTAAACACATGATTAAAAGAAGTTTTAGAGAAAAAGCAATTCCTAAACCCTCGAGTATAGAAAACTGCTGAGAGTCTCCCTGATTCCCCCTGGGTCTGTGAGTCCCTAGATGGCAGAATCTGGCTCTTCCCCTTGACGGGTCCCAGCTTAGTCACTCCTAGATGTTGAGGAGATAAGCAATTGCTCTTCCAGGGGCCAGAAAATGGCCCACCAGCCAGTCATGGTGACTGCTGCTACTCCTGTTCCTACTGTTCTCATTTATCAACGGCTTACCCTGTGCCTGACAGCACCTGGGATGGAGATATGAGAGACACATTTGATAGAAGAGTGCACCAATACTTAGAGGGATTAAGAGATTTACCTGGGGCTAAACATTTAATTCCCACATGTAAGGGGGCAAAAAACTCTTGATGCCAGAAGCAGGGATTAAACCTGCTTCCTGCACTGCACTGGGACCCAAATGACATCTGGGGGCCAAAAGGAAGGGCACTGGACCCTGGGAACCTAAGTCACTCTTCTCTGGCCTTGGGAATATCTCTGGTTTACTGAACCCCAAATCTTAGTCCAGAGGCCTCCGTACTACTGCTCTATCCTCCTTCACCACAGACTGAAATGCCTTGTGTCTTTGAGCCCACTTGGAGAGGAAATTTCATCCACAGAATAGTCCATCTGTGGGGCATCGCTGAAGCCTGTTGGTTCTATCGCAAAGACAACAAACATGGTTAAAATAATTTAAAAGACTTAAATGTTCCTTACCTGAAATTACAATAAGGAGGGTGAGAAGAGAGACGTGAGCGAAGGCTTTCATTTTAGATCTTCTTGCTAGGTAACCCAAGGAGGAAATGATCTTCCCCCAACTGCCTTCTGATTTAACTCTCTTTCAGGTACAAAGTCCAGCCATTAACTGACGTCAAATGAGCCAAAAGCAATTACTCGTTAGGGTTTGGTCATATACCATAGGTCTCAGATGAGCTTCTGAGATGGAAGAGATGAACCTGGCCTCATGAACTATTTTTCTATCTCATGGTCCAAAATAACTCAGGACAGTTGGGATGGTTGGTGGGGAGGGGGGAGCCTCCTACCTTATGATGAAGCCATTTTGCTCCTAATTATTTACCCAAGAGAAATGAAAGCATACATCCACACAAAGATGTCTACATGAATATAAAGAGATATGTATCTCTATATCCCAAACGTCCCCAAGCTACCACCTTTTAGGAGGTCACCATTTCTTAAAATACCCAATGATACAGCCTGGCTTTACTCACCCCATGTGAGTGCAGGAGATCCATTTTCTTCCCCCGGTAGTTTTGAGAATCCCTGAGGAGTACTTCCACGTTTCCCCAGCCTGTTTGTTGCTTAGCTCTTGTCACCTTTTGGTGTGGATCAGCGCTCTGGGCCCCCCTGATGGTCACGCCGAGCAACTTTGAAATCATGTCTGCAAGCGCCCACTGTTCTCCACAGATCACTCTACCTGCAAGAGCCCGCCCCCCCACCCCCGCCCCCATTAATCCTCAAACATTGTGAATATCAACTTGTAGCATTTAACCTACGTTTACCAAAGGCTTGTGGGTGGCAGGTCAAGGAGGGGGAAATACAATGTAGAAAAGGGGAAAATTTTAAGCAGGTGAGTTTATTTTCTCTTCATTCCTGGTTGTTCACTGCTCAAGTTGCTGCCTCCTGGGTCCTGTACTGACAGCTGCTCCTCAGCCCCTGGCCTCTCACAGCATTTCAGGAACCAGCTTTATCAGTTGGATGAGGGTCTGCTTAGTCCAGGCCTTCCTCCTGAAAATCCAGAACCACTACCCCCTGGGGGTAGCCCAGGCCTGAGGAATGGACCCAATATCACCTTGTTTTTGCCCTGACCTTGTAAACACAACATTTTTTATATTATTACACTAGAGGCCTGGTGCACAAAATCCGTGCACTGGGGGGGGGGGGCGGTGTCCCTCAGCCTGGCCTGCGCCCTCTTGCAGTCTGGGAGCCCATGGGGGATGTCTGACTGATGGCTTAGGCCCGAGGTTAGTTGGACATCCTTAGTGCTGCTGCAGAGGTAGGAGAGGCTCCCGCCACCGCCGCTGCGCTCAACAGCTGTGAGCCTGGCTTCTGGCTCAGTGGCGAGTCCTCTGTAGGAGCACACTGACCACCAGGGGGCAGCTCCTGTGTTGAGCATCTTCCCCCTGGTGGTCAGTGCACATCATAGCAAGTGGTTGAGCGTAGCATTTCATTAGCATATTATGCTTTGATTGGTTGAACAGACAACCAGACGACCGGATACTTAGCATATTAGGTTTTTATTATATAGGATAGGAGGCTAGTTTCTTCTTGTCCCAAAAGTCTCCATTTAACAATGGGATTTGGGGTTGGCTCTTATAATGCTAAGAGGCTCATTTACATATTTTCCCCATGCAAGACATCTCTTGGGCCCATGTTTTGTGCTGTTATTCTCAATTTGAGCGACTCCTGGCACCAGGAGTTAAACAAAAACCTTATTTTAAAAAATCCTTTTCTCTTTTCCTTTGAAACTCATTTCTTTTTTAAAAATTTTTAAAATATATTTTATTGATTTTTTACAGAGAGTAAGGGAGAGGGATAGATAGTTAGAAACATCGATGAGCGAGAAACATCGATCAGCTGCCTCCTGCACGCCCCCTACTGGGAATGTGCCCGCAGCCAAGGTACATGCCCTTGACCGGAATCGAACCCAGGACCCTTGAGTCCGCAGGCTGATGC